AAAATCAGTTTGTGTAGAGCTTGTTCTCTTTTGAACAAGAAGAATGCGAAAGTACCTTCACAGATGACAGGAACAGAGCGCTCAGCTCTGCTTACACCATCCTGTGCCATAAACCCTGTCAAACAGGTGTAATCTATACTTATTTTACAGCAAGTTGTACGTGACAAGCTGCTGTTTCAATTTTGCCTTGACTCGATACATATTTCTCCCATGACGTTTCACAACTATTGGACAGAAACGACACCCAAACAATATGCTTTCAGTTAGATTTTAAGCTTGATTATACAGTTATATTCTGCCAGTTAGCTTCTTGCAATGCCATGTTGTTACTGGAAAGCAGATGATATTCTGGAAAAAGCAGCCTCCAACTATAAAGATCCCGCCTTCCCTTTCATTCCTCAGGTTAGTAATAATATTCCTAAAGAGTGCTTTCTGCACTTTTTTCTAAAAAGTCACATTTAACATACCAGTCTGAAATTCTTTAAAAAAAATAAAATTAAAAAAACAACAAAAAAAACAACAAAAGCAATTCAGATCATCCAATGCCTAACTTACGATCTTACTTTCTTTCATGATTTGTCTGAACATTAGAAAGTTCAAGGATTGCTGACTTCCAACCACCTTCTCAGTCTAACTAGTGAGCACCCTGCTACAATACATATATGTATCACAGGAAGAGTCAAAAGAGAGCACAAGAAATCAAGTCATACAAAAATGACAGTAGGTTTCTTTATTCTATTTCAATTTATTTTACTCTAGCCATCATTATTGTATGGTATATGCAAATTTTATTTTTATCTAGCATACATATATGTTACCAAAATTAAACCCTGATTCTGGCTCTAAAAACTCGGCAGATTACCCCCTGAAAGTTTAGAAAAAGGGAACACCAATAATATTTCCACAGGTGGCTTCACTCACTAGCATGTTTCTATATCTTAGTCTATTCTTCACCAGCGAGCAGGTATTTCCTGCAACATAGACCACCTCCGTGACTATCAGAAATGAGGAGGACTTCACTTCATGAAGCTAAAGATTCGACTGGAACCTGAGCTACCATCTAACATCATAACGTGGAATCAAAATTGTAGCCATTGAATAAAAATCTTTCTTTAGAAGTAATCTTTAGAATAATTCATGCCTACTTGGTAACAGCAGTATAGCTGCACCTATTGAAAAATTCTAATATCAAGGATCTCTACGCCAAACGAATTGTTTGCCAAAATAATTGAAGCATAATGCTCCCTTCAGCAATTGAAGCATAATGCTCCCTTCAGCAAGCATCCCTTTCTTTAAAAACAGATTTTTATTTATTTATTTATTTTACTATACAATTTTCCTTGTAGTTTAATCATAAACTAGTATTCTGATTTATCATCAAGTTTAGATAAGGTTACCTTTATCTTGTTACCTTGACCTGACTTGACTTCAGCTGCCTCTGAGACCAAAGCCTTACTGGCTTACCAGCTCCCTAAAGCAAAAACGAGGGCTCTACAAAACACAAAATGAGTATTACTACAACGCAAATAAGCAAAATGCTGGCTATGAACTTCCACCTTCGCTATTAAGCAGGATACCTTCTTATATAAAGAAACATTTGTAAATCTCCACCTTTGTCTTCCATGACAGTGATATCACGGTTGAAATGGCTATTGACTGGAGTTACACATCAAAGGTAATTTAATTTTACAGGTCAGTCCAAAAACGGATCCTTAGCTAATTTGAGTCTGTTGAAATATATATGGATTTTTTGTTCAAAGCTTTAAGAAAAAGAAAATAAAAATCAATTGAGATGCTGAAAGCATTTATTCAATTTTCCTACAACAAGGTACAGTATTATCTTGTTAAATGACTGAACAAACTTGCCACAGAGCCCAAGAGACGCAAGACACCTTGTTCCTTTTTTTATTAGTACTAACAAAGCTCATAACTGATTTTCGACAGGCTAATGGGCATTTAATATCCAAAACAAGTTTTCTAACACATTATTTAAAAGAACAATGACCTATTCACCACTCTATAATGGGTTAAGATGATTCTGATTCTAGCCCATTTACAGATGATTGGCTTTTTTTAAAAAGAAAAAAAAAAAGTGAAACCAAAAATTGAGAACTAAAGAAAACATTTACTGTCGTAAGAGCTTTTAACACAGTTGTATGCATCCAGTAGACAATAATGTCAACAACTGCTTTATGGAAGGGTCCTCTGTTCACCAACTCTCTAGAGATCCTATTATGATGTATGATTTTTGCACAAATTCCTGCAGTACATTCAGAGGACAATTTTGGAACCAAAAGGTTTAACCTGAACAGTTAACAGGAGTTAAAAACAGTTGAGCTTTCAGAAAAAAAAAAAATAAAAAATTATAGTTTAAATAAAATAAAAATACATGAGGGAGATCTGAAAAGTCTGAATTACAAAGAAAATATTTATGAACAAGATGAACAATTTCATTATCTTTCTCATAGTACCTTACTGTATGGGTTTTGTTTTTTAAAGGAACAAGCACACTGTAAATGAACTTACAGAACTTGGGAAAGTAAAATCTTTTCTTCTCAAAAAATCTGAAAATGTGAAAGTGATTTGCATTATCAGAAATACTTGCCTTACTGGTTCAGTTCTAGATGTTTTCACATTTTAAAGCCTCTGTGAATAGATAGACTTGAACGTACCATGAGGGTAAAAGTCACAGTTCATCACGCTGCAGCATTGTCAAAACTCATTATCCCAATAACTGATGCACTTGATCTAATAGTGAAGTGTCATACAGTAAATAAACTTATGTTCTTTCCATGCAAAGGCGGCACTATTATTTGTACTTCATAAGGGAATTTAGAAGTAACCACATTGATATAATTCACGATTTTGCCTCCTTCCATGATCTCTAATCGGATACAATACAATTATGCTCTACACAATTTTGATTTTTAACTAGTGAACATCAGTGAACTGTAACATACTTAGCAGATGTCGAAAAGACTTGTTGGCTTTCAATATTGTATCTTGATTTGCTATTTCAAGAAAATTATATGGGAAATTTATATAGAGTAATAGAGTTTCAGAACTGTCTGAAATACTCAAATGGTGCTACATTAAAACAATCCTTTACAAATATTTCACAGAACCTAACATCCTGTTATCATTAATTACAGAAAACAATATACCCTTGGATAACGCTTCTACAGAGTTTACTAACATAAAATATGATGCCAAAATACTAATAAGGAACAAGAATATTGCACGTTAATTGGCAGTGAACACTGCGAAACTCAGCTGGATAAAAAATGTCAGAGCTCATGAGAGAGCATTCAAGGCAACAATGAACACGATCATGTCAAGTGACAGTGAACTCTGGACAGAGATGAGCAAGATTAAAATACATAGCAAGTCCCAAACTTCCTGCTGCAAACATGAAAGAGCCAGCTCTTCCGGAATTCAGTAAAACCATTGGTTTGATCTCTTGACGACTGTTTCAGTCAACAACAACCTTTCCACAAATAGTCCCTACACTGCCTGTAGATACATACTTCAATTTCTCCCAGGATTTACTGTGCATCTATTTGTAGACTTTGCAATCTAAAAGGGTTTCCCCTTCTTACTCTATCACCAAAGAAAAATAACAAAAGTACTTCTCCTCATTTTTCCAATAGGTAGCCAGAATAGAATGTGTCATCTTTATAAAGATGAAAGTCATAGGCATGTGTTGCAAGCATAGTTAGGAAGGTCTCTTCCTTCAAAAGAAGGTCTCTCTACAAAAATGTAGTTACTTCCATCGTCTACAACTTGACAGATATTGAACCATTTCGGTTTTCTACTTTAAGCCTCTATGTCCTACGTTCTACCTGAGTAACCTGTTCCATCTTTGCAGGGCATTTAGGCACAGAGAAGAGGTTCAAGTATTGACATGGAAAAAGAAGTAGCTGTCAGTTTCCCAGGAAAACATCCAAGTGGAGGGAAGGCTGTCACCTTTACCACAAAACACAGCACTTATGGCTAGCCCAGTCTTCCTGGAAATGAAACTGAATAGCTACATGAAATCTTCGTATCAATTTGGAACCAAGAAACTCTGAACAGAATGTTCAAATTCTTGCAGGCAAAAGGAAAGATTTGGTTGGAGTCACCATTTAGTTTTCCTTAAGGGAATTGTACCAGAAGATGAAATATTACTTTAAAGATTTTCAATCTCCATTTTCATAGCTTATTAAAAACACTGAAGAACAGCCTATTTTAGAGAAAATCCACTGCTCGAATAAAAATGACACTGAACTGATTTCCACTGGATACACAGGCTCCACAGAGTCTTTTGTGGAACCAAAATAGATAGTGCTTCACTATCAATCAGGTTTTAAAAAAGCCAACATTTGCCTAAAACGTAAGTGTAATGAAATCTAGATAAACATTTATCCAGTATTTTTCATGTCAACTGTTGTTGAAACATTAAATGGAGAAGAATGATTCAGACTGGCACAAAAGGACAAAGTTAGAATTATGGGACACGAGTTTGTTTTCACAATAAACAAAAATTTCTTGGTGATGAAGATACACCAGTACACTGGTTTTAAATCTTCTGCAGACTGGTTTTATATCCACCAGCAGACTGTTTTCATAAAGCCACCCATGGCTTACAGGATCTTAGATTACATGGAACAATCTTTCACAATATAGTGATGATTGCTTCACTTATCAAAAGTTTCACAAAGTGGGATCACTGTTTTCAACAGAATGCTAAAATACCACTTGGAACAGAGTGCTAGAGCAGACTGTGCACTCCTGCATGGATAATAAAGATCAATTCTGTATTTATGGGTACATGCACTACGTGATCTCAAAGGTTTATTCCCCTACCTTTAACTTCAAAGATTCTAGATACTACTCAAAACTCATAAAACAGAAACAAGAATTTTCAGGTCACCAGCTACAAATATGCGACCACAAGTGACAGAAAACTTCATGACATGATGACTTTGGCTATTGAAAGACAAGGAAAGCTTTTCAGTTACCTTTTTTACAGTCTTGTCAGGTTCAAGAGCTATATCTGGAATGTTGGCATCCACCATGAGGGAAAATAAGTTCAAGATCAAGTTGGAATACCTAAGCAAAAGAGTAAATTAGGTTAAACACTTCGTAAACTGCACAAAAGACATTTTGTAAAAAGCTTCATTTAAGAACACATCATCATCTTAGTGTGACTTGGTGATGGTTCAGAGGAGATGCATTCATAACACTTTATCACAGAATCACAGAATTTTCAGAGTTGGAAGGGACCTCTAGAGATCATCTAGACCAACTCCCCTTTAGTTGAACATATTATGTTAAAAACATAAGATACCTGATATTACCAGTGAAAGTTTAACCCTCAAACTGTCTCAAACTGCCAAAACTGAACATACTATTCCGGTTTTGTTATAATCTTCTAAAAATTGTCAGAACATTTATCCAGGGGCATATCAAATATAACCTATAATTTTAAATATTGTAGCATTTAATGACTTTGTTTTACCTCCAGTACAAAAAACATGCTAGAACATTGATTTAAAGGTTATTTTTTATTAAAAAGGATTTCAGTGATATAGCAGCATTATATAAACTAGCATTCAAACAGCTGAAGTCTTCACAATTACAAGAAATTATTTTTCAAGTTTGGTCTTTTGCCATAACAAGTTGAATATAAGTGATTTAACCAAATCTAAACCTGCAGTTGCTCGGTTAAGCTGCAGTAACATAGGTAGGCATGCTGCACTTACAAAGGTCACTTATAACCATTAAAAAAGACAAGACAGAGAAGAGTTTTCAGTTTTAACGTGGTGTGGAAGTACTTGTGAATCTCTTGAAGAACACCATTTTGCCCTCTCAGAAAATTAGCTGTAAGTTGCTTTTTCAAAGGATAATTTTCAAGCTGTTCAACAAACTGAAACTTCCCTTCCTCTGCAAAGAGATCTAGGTCCCATTTCAGAGACAAAGTACTAACTGATGTAAAAATCTGAAATATTGCTTTGCTAAGAGCACTAGGAGTTTCAGAGATAATAGAAAATGAATTCTTAGCATCAAAACTTGTTTATTAGCAAGCTGCTGAATATATATATAAACTGACAATTGCACAGAGCACAAAGTATTTTAACTATACAAAAGGACTACTCCATAGCTGTATTTTACAAAGTAAATACTGCTCAACAAAATCTCTCTGGAAAAGCATAATTCCCTCTTCACCACCTGCCCCAGCTTTTAGAAGACTATATCCCCTACACTGCCCAGCTACTACCTTTCCAAAGAATCAGCACTTCCCAAGGCCATCGTAACTTTCCACTTTTTTTATTCAGATCTATATGACCTCCTCTGTCACTGAGAACAGACTAGGGAAAAACACTCTGGTTCAGCCAGCTAGATATCCTCATCCTTATGCAGCAAATCTCAGCTCAAACTACAGCTTCTGCCTCTAGTTACTTTCTACTACTTTGTGTCTACCTATTCCCCACTAACTCAAACTGAGTATCAAACTTCTCACAACTAACACAGGGTAAACCTCTATTTGGGAAGGAATAATACAACCTAGAACCTGATCCTAAGAACAACTCAGATGTTGAATTCCTCCTCTGGATCCTGCTGATGATTTGTAAACTGGAAATTCATGAGGGGAAGGGAAATGCTGATACATAACAGGACTTGAACATCCTTAAAGAGGCTTAACCTGTATAATGAAGGTGTAAAAGGCTGATACAGCCCAAGTGAGAATGCAAGTTCTGCTGACAGCCACATTCAGAACACAGAGGCTGCTCCTTCATCACAGCACTGCTGACAAACACACACACCTGATTATTGTTCAAAAAAGTGGAATCTCTCCCACCACCACCACCAAAAAAACCCCACAAAATCAACAAAAAACTGCACACCGATGATCATACGCCAAACTGCTTCCAATCTAAAACAATGAACACAACTATTTTTCCACTTACAAGTTTTAAGTTGTTTTTATTTGTTTTCACAGTGCAACACCTATTCCACCAGGAATCCTGAAACAATGATACAGCACTTGAAAGATGTAGAGGACTGTCTATACCCCAGGGAAATATCAAAGAATAAACCACAAATTGACGGAGATGACAAACAGAGTTTGCATTTTGTCTTAGCAATCAGAGGTTATGATTTCACACTCCTTAGCCAGAAGTATCCGTGAACATTTTTGCATCAACATGCGTAACTGTTAGAACTAAGCCATTCCACCTCTAATTACTCTTTTTCAATAAACAAGTAATTTTAATAATTTTTAGTTCTCACCACTTAAAGTAACAGCTATAGAAATACTAATATTATCCTATGCCGTCTTTGTTGAAAGCCTTGAAGATATTTATCCAGAACCATTTAAAAATACTTTCCTATTACACTAAACAAATATTGGAGAGACTATAATTACAACTACAATCCCAGACATTAAAAATGAAACCATCTTGATTTACAGTTTGGTTTTATACCTAAATTACTGCTATACTCCACACTTAATGACGATTTTTGTAGCAAATCATTACATAAATTAATGCAATGGATAATCCTTCACTGACACAACAGACCTTCCCACTGAAACAGCTAGGTTTAAACAACAAAAACAACTCAAGCATTTCACAAGTAAGAAATGCAGTATTACAAAACAGTTTTAAGAAAAAATTAGAACATGGAATATATATTAGACTTCCTGATGGTTCCCTGAAGTCATGAATATTGTTTGCTGATAACATGCTGCTCTTTTTTCATGTTGCTGAATAGCTTTTAACCCATTAATGTCAGTTCGTAAACAAATTCCTTACTCTTTCTAACATGAGAACTACCTGGAGCATTTTTGCTTCCAATCATTGACTGCCTACTTTTCACACTACATGTACTTTTCACATATGCTTTTCATATTACTAATATTTTCCCACAAATTTGGAGGTTTATATTATGTGATAGTGATATAAAAGTGGAATTCCTTCATCTCTATGGAAGATGTACAAAATAAATCACTGGCCAGACAAAGCATACTTACCTGTGCCCTGTTCAAACAGAACAAAGCTGAGCTACTTGGCTCAGAAAGCTGATAGTAAGTGATACAGTCACTGCAAAATAATGAAACTGCTTCCAAGTCTAAACATGAGATCTGTTGGTCCATAAATAAATACAGTCTAAAGAGGTGTTAGCTGTCACAGTTCTAGGTATCTACAGAAACTGCTAACATACTTGATTGTCACTGCAATTACCTAATTTTTGTCCTGCAGGACCTGAACTCAACTAAACTTATGTATGTGCCATCTACAAGCCAACAAATTTGATCATCACTAACCCAAACTGTAGGCAGATAAAGCAGCAAATGAGTAATGACTTAAGAGTTGAAAGGACAGTTACTTGATCAGCAATAATCAAGAGAAAAAGCTGCTTAAGGGCAGAAACTTATCCAAAAAGCAAGATATAAATTAATACCTGACAGAAGTTATTAAAAAAAGCGATTTAGGCTATTAAACAAGTCAAACTAGGGACACTTAACGTGAATGTAGACTCAAGCTTCAAGTTACACCAACACTGTGATGTTTTCGTTACTTTGTTCCATACAAATTCTTGTGTCTACGTTCAGGCTTTAAGTTTTGCATCTTCAACAGAAATATTCTCTCTGACTCATTTACTCCTCTCCTGAGTTATAGTGGCTCTAATAAATTTTAGCATCAAAATAGTATTTTTACCTGCGGAGATGGAGAAAGGCTGTGTAGCACTGCTTACGGAACTCCTGGTACTGCTCACTCTGCGTGCCTCCCATACCTTCCACCATCTCCTTATTCAACTTCATTGGCGGGGGTAGAGGCTTAGGGTCCCGACCCAAAATATAACCAAAGTCAATGTGAAATAGTTTACCTGTAGAAGAAGGAAACACAAACAGAATTACTTATTTCAACACTTCATACAGCATCAAATCTTGATGTAAAACTTGGAAAAAAAAAAATCTTTACGTGAAATCTCTAGAAGATGCTAAGCAGCTCTCAAAAAAAAAAACAGAATTCACTGTTTTCTGTAAGGCTTATAGCTGTATATATTATATCTTCAGGTGCCAATTTGAAATTGCGGGTTTAAAAAAGTAAAGCTGATTTCAAATTCCTTAGGACTATGAATAAACAAGATGAGGTTTTTTGCCTTTTTTTTTTTTTTTAACATACGGAGTATATTCACAGAGATTGAATCAATGATGAAACTGGTCAGTTGATATTATGTGCGCTTGCAGACCAGAAAGCCAACCATACCCTGGGCTGCATCAAAAGAAGCGTGACCAGCAGGTTGAGGGAGGTGATTCTGCCCCTCTACTCTGCTCTCATCATACCCCACCTGGAGTGCTGTGTCCAGCTTTGGAGTCCCCAACGTAAGAAGGACATGGACCTGTTAGACCGGGTCCAGAGAAGGGCCAAGAAGATGATGAGAGGACTGGAGCACCTCTCCTATGAAGTCAGGCTGAGAGAGTTGGGATTGTTCAGCCTGGAGAAGAGAAGGCTCCAGGTAAACCTTACAGAGGCCTTCCAGCACCTAAAGGGGGCCTACAAGAAAGCTGGAGAGGGACTTTTTACGGGGCATGTAGTGATAGGATGAGGGGGAATAGCTTCAAATTGAAGAGGGGAGATTTAGAATAGATAATGAGGAAGACATTTTTCACTATGATGGCGGTAAGGCACTGTAACAGGATGCCCAGGGAAGTTGTGAACGCCCCATCCCTGGAGGTGTTCAAGGCCAGGCTGGATGGGGCTTTGAGCAACCTGGTCTGGTGGGAGGAGTGCCTGTCCCTGGCAGGGGGGTTGGAACTCGATGATCTTTACGGTCCCTTCCAAACAAAACCAATCTATGATTCTGTGATATTAAATGCATGGTTATATAAAAGATATTACTAATTCTTTGCACCTTCTTTAGAATTTGTTAGCCAATTAAGATATTAATACACATATTGCCTTGCTTTTAGTATCCCATTTGGCTGCTCTGGAATCAAATATGTTACTTTAGCTGTACGTTAAATTTACTAAAGGGAAGACTCATGATCCCAAGAGAGACCTTCTGAAGCTACTAAATGCCAAAGAAAATTTCAAAGTTGTTTCAAAATTCTTTCAGAGTTGTTTGGGTAAGGTTAAAACTTTTCAACAGTTTTGAAATATACTGAAGAAACATCACTACAGTTCTGTATCTGAAACTATATTTCAAATGTGCTAAAGTCTGTCTTACACTTTTTCACTACTACAACACAAGCGTTACATCACTTTATCACTACTTTTCCCTTCTCATTTAAAATATTTCTACATTTAAAATGTTTCTGTAGCATTAACTTGACAAAAAAAACTATACACATCTCTTGCTTCAAATGCACAAGGCAATGTCCCTTCCTGTGAAGAGCTTGTGTGCAGCCATACTGTTTGTAATATTGCTCAGACCTTTACTGGGGAGTGTTCACTGTATTCCCTTTCAATAGTACTGAACCCTATGTGAGATGCAACATGTGGCAAAACAAACTGAAACATCAGCAACTTCAAAAAATCTTACTAAAACATTCAGATAATCTGAAGATTAAATATTATATAAATACATAAACAAAAATGTTGCCAACAGAAATCAAAATAGTAGAAGTCATAAGTCTTAGAAACAGTTTCTAGAAACGTTCTTGATTCACTTCTTAAGGGGAAAATATTGACCATATAAAGCAAAAAAAGTGTTTTAAAGTGTTCTGCAAACAAATTTTCAGTTTGAAATGCATAATTTAAACAATGACTTGGGGCACACCAGAGTTGCATTACAAAAAGACGGTAAGAATTGCAGCATGCCAAGAAATATTTATATATATAAAAAAAAAAAAAAAACAACGAAAACTGCTAAGTGATTTCCTTAGGACAGAGAAAAAACTTCCTGAACTCTGCAGTAATGAGGAATCATGATGTAAATTAAGAAGTACAAAAAGGTGATAAAACTTTTAAACCTTCTTATAAACAAGAAAATTATTAGTATGATTCTCATCTAAACAGTCACACAAAACACAGAACACACAAAGAGTCTTGCTTCAGAATGAGGGAAATGAACAGCATTGCGGACACAGATTTGTTTGCCAACGGGCATTTTAACCTGTAGCAATGCTCAGCACTCTTGAAAACAAATGGAACAGACAGTATTTTCCAATTAGTCACCCCTCTTTGACCATTTCATTGAATAATAATGTTCCATCATCAGAGAAGTCTGCTTGTGATCTGTCATAAACACTCTTCTTCAACCAAGAAACAAACTCCATCACTGTCAATTTTCTAAGAGAGATCACAAGGATGCTTAAGTAGGCAAAGTATTTGCCAGTTGATAAATGGCACAACCATTACATTTTGCACACCTAATTGTGTTTAATGCGCCCCATTCCTTTCATAGTTTTTCCAAGCTGTTAGAGAAGTTACTTCTAAAGCTCATTTTTGTACACTAAATTTTTGAAGTAGGCACTTTGATATATATATACATATATATATATATATATATGCCCCCCCCCCGTTAAGTTTCCTAAAATGTTTAATTAAAAAGTTGGGGGGAGGGGGGTGTCTTGCTTTCTGTTCACTTATTCAAACCTGTCTACTTGAAGAGTCAAGAGACAACATTTTGAATAAAACAGTAACTCTTATGGCAGTAATTCTTTTTTTTTTACTTTCCTTTGGAAACAGGAAGTGAGAGGTGATAATTAGTAATTTAAATTGGTAAAATATGCATCTAAAACATTCAAAACCATTTTAATAGTTGACTGATAGATGTTCATATAAATTAACTAGATATCAAGTAGTTTACTTACTCATTTTTAGGAATGAAGTATAAAAGAAAGTATAAGTTGAGGCCATCCTACATTAACATTACAGCTTCCCTAGCTGTACCTGAAAGTTCAGCAGATTTTTAGTCTGACTTAAAAATATATGCTTTCATTTAAATACATTAAATATTTAATGTTTTTCAAATCCATGTATTATAAACACAGACTTAACTCATTTTCATTTGTGCAGCTCCTCCAATATCAATTAAGCCAGCATATCATATTACAGAATATGGACAGAAGGCTCCCCTTGGTCCTTGCCTGAAGCTGCTACACCAGTAAACACTGACTGGCCAGCTTGAGGGAGTACTGCAGTTTTAGAGTGTTCTGCAAAGATGCCTGACTTATGTTCTCCTTGAGGACTTAACTACAATTGGAACAAATGAAGAACAAGCCTGCTTTAGACAAATTAAATTGGTTGTATATTTAATACTGAAAATTAGGTGAAGTGCATATTATTATTTATGTCAACAAATAATAAATTTATCAAGTTAATAAACCTGATGATTTGAAATCTTTTCATACTAAGAGAAAAGGTTACAAATATCTCAAGTGATCATCCTAAGAAAAATTTGTGTCAGAATATAAACACTGAACATCCCACCTTCATGGTATTTATGAATGCAACTGTTAAGACTATCACTCAGTATAACCTCTATTACAAGAACAAGCCTAAACAAAGTTTCTGGTACCTATTTGACAAGGTGCAGCGCCAGAAAATACTAAATAGTAGCAGAAAGAGCAGGATAAAAATAGGCATCGGAACACTCCAGCTTTATATAAAGCAACTGGTGTAGATTATATGAACTTAAAAAAAAAAAATCACTTTGATCTACAAATTACTGAAGATGTAATTCTAAGAGGACATAAAATATATTTAATCAGAGTTTTTATTCTGTAAGAGTTGACTTTCACTGTGAATTAACATACTGACTCCTAACATAGCCATCACTCCAGATTCGCATCTGTAAGGATGAAGGCAAAAGCTGCCAGTAACAATTTATGATATTTTTTTTTGTTAACTTAAACATGTTTTTTTTCAATAGCACAGTTCCTCTAAACATACTCAAGTATTGCCATACCTGAGGCTGACAAACGTCACATAAAAAAAAAAAAAACCAAACTTGCCTAGTAATCACAGCTAAAATACAGCCTACAGGAGAATCAGCATCTTATCTGGGCAGGTGTTGAATGATTTTTTTAGTTCTGGAATGTCACACAATTTGTGCAGTTTGTATTTGGAAGTTCCTGAAAGTTATGTAATTTGGTTGATAAGCATACCTTCTCAACTGAATTTAGAAGATGACTCTTTTAAACCTTTATTTTAAAAAAATCGCAGAATGGTTGAGGTTGGAAAGGACCTCTGGAGGACATCTGGTCCAATCTCCTGGTCAAGGGGGGACATGTAGAGCCAGCTGCCTTGTCCAGGACTATGTCCACATGATACCTGGTTATCTCCAAGGATGGAGACTCCATGACCTCTCTGGGCAACCTGTGCCAGTGCTCTGTCACTCTCACTATGAGTAAAAAATTCATACTCATAGCATGGTATTTACATATAATTATCACCTGTCCTCCCAGAAAATTTGACCGCTTGTGAACTTTGTGTAAAACTACTTTTTCTAAAGGCTTTGAACTTCCATGTTTTTATCAAACAATAGCATTTTCTTCCTTCAATATACAGTGTCAGTGCCAGAACACACATCTCTTGGACCATCGTGTTTTCACCGCTGCTTCCAATCCATCTTCTTTAGATTCATTACATGGTAAAGTGCTCTTAGTTATTAGACATGCTTATAAATTGCAAAACTGGACTTCTCATTTTGGTTTATCACTGTTCCTGAATGACTGCTACATCATGCAGGTGAGGGTTTTTGAGTCATGTTTGAAACTAAAAGATAAGTTACTTAAGGCAACAAGTAAAACAGATTCCATCCTCTGAGCCTCTTACATTCTTGTAAGGCTAGACATAACTGCCTTGGATTTCTAATATTTGGACACAAACCTTTAGACACCTACTTAGAAATGCAAAGCTCCTCATAAAAATGGGGAC